CGGGTATATGGCTTGCTGGAAGTTGGTTGGAGTCATTGTAGAAGAGTACCTGTCGTGTTTCAAGCAGCTATTTTCTTATTATGCCTACCCAATGAAGAAGAAAAAAGATCGAGGCAAATGCCAGCAGTGTGTAGATAGATAGTCTCGGCTTTTAGTTTGGGCGGTGGTTAAATGATACCCAATATCTCAAAAGAGATTGATCTTCACCATTGTTCACAAAAGATAGCTTTAGAAAAAAAACACTTTCATTGCTATGTTTTTGATTACTACTCGTGAGGTATCATGTCCCATGCCCATCCGCCCAATGCACCTTGATCCCCTGAGACGCCTTTTTGAAAATTCAGTGGAAAGGGAGAAAGTAAAAAAAGTAAGAAACAAGAAAAGGGTGAAAGCCATGTAAGACGCAGCTCAAGCGTCGTATACCCTATACCCGCTTCCCCTTCTCATAGGAGCCAGATCATGAGTGTAGTTTTGTCACTGCTATTCCTCTAATAGCCTCACTTAGTATGGGTTAGCCGTACCCAAACCACCCGACGCCGTCTCGTTGAAGCCCGGAGGAATAGTCCAACCATGGACGTTGCAAGCTCGCTTGTACGCTTCGACTGCCTCGCCAACATAATAATCTGACGGGCCACCTGGCGCTAAACGAGCTGGCTTTGGGTCCACACTGCAAATGGCCATTCGGACCTGAAGGAGAACAGATTCGATAGAGGAAACAGCGCTCCAGCCGTCGTTGGTCAGAAGCTCCATGCACATGGCACCACCGGCAGTGACGTGACCACCTCCACCCTGATTGAAGCCAAGGAAGCGAGGACGGATGACCCGGACGAACGGTGGACTCATGGGATGGTCCTTGCCAAAGCGTAGCTCCAGAACAATGCTCTTGATACCCCTCTTTTTCATATCCTGCGCAAGTGGTAACTTGGGGTCGAATGAGTGGAGCTCTACAATCCATTGGTAGATGTTGTCGATCTTGTCTTCGTCGATGTGCCATCCTAGTTCATGAAGCGGCTCCCTATTCTGGATAGAGATGATGTCTCTAAAGTCCTTCATCAGGCGCTTGGTGGCAGACGTAGTTGCCCATACTGGTGTCGCAATCATGGGAAGTCTTGAGTAATCCAAAGTGCCAGGGACGTAGTCGGTAAGAGGCTTCTGTGGTGCCTTCTGACTTGACTTGCCGAAGATCTTTGACGAGAACGATGAAATAGCTGTCATCTTGGATTTACCTTTGCCATCCATGATCGAGTTCGGCGTAGGGATAGACTCCTCATTGTACTTTGGCTTGAAGCTGTCACTCTCATATTCATCTTCGTCGAAAATAATGAGATCCTCTTCAAGTGTTGCAACACTGTCTGTATCGTCATCCTCGCAACCGACTTCTATAGTATCAAACCGGGACTTCCCAGAAGCCTTCTGCCTCTTGGATAGCCCATACACAGTCGGCTTGTACCGCCGAGATGCGGCGATAGCGTGGATTGGAATAATCAGCGGTCCATCAACGCCAAGAGGAGTTCGACTTGGATCTTGTTCAACAAACTCTAGTGGTTTTGAGACTGGATTAGGCGCAGCGGTACTGGAGACGTCGGCACGTTTCCGTACAAAGAGATAGCGAGTCTGAATCCAATCGAGTTGGGCGACGACCAGATGTGGGTTCTGGCTAACGTACTCCTCTGGCGCATTTACAATTTCGTTCAGAGCCAAGGCCTGCTGGATTTTGAGTTCACTCATCGGCCATGAAGCACCTATCTGTATGTTGGAGTATCCTAAACTTGTAGTCACGTTAGGGGCATGATAGACCCCATGCCCAAAGGCTCGTCCATGATGCGTCTCCTTGAAATGAAGACCTTCTCGAATGATGCTATGCCAATTGTGGAGCGGACTACCATGCCAGGCAAAAAGAGTAGGGTATTTAAGATGCAGCCTCTCTTTGGTTTGCCGTACTGCCTCAATAAAGCGGCGTTCCTTGTCAGGCGCACCCATTGCGAAACGGAACTGTGCCCAGCCGCCCATTCCATAGAGTCGCCCTTCAGTCTTGCGGCCGCTCGGAAAATCTCCCTCATCCACCTGCAGAATACAAGCCCGGTTTGAGGCAATAATCCAACGTAAGACTCCAAGGGCAGCAGAGGGCAGGCGATCAACCCAAGAACTCAGAGGTGATTCTGATTTGCGCAACAGATATTTCCTCATCTCCTCGACAGGTGGAAGCACGTGCAACAGCGAGACTATCGCCTGTTGCTTATCGTGATCTTTGAGATCATCAAAGTTGTGATCGTAGAGATAGAAACTCCCAGACCGAAAATGATCTCTCTGGACCGGTTTTGAGTGTATCCTGTTGGTCTGCTGAGGGGCCTGATCTCTGTATAATGGCAACGTATGTGGGTGTATGTAATCGTTGTTTGAGGCGTCAGCAATTGCTGCAACGACAGGCTTGGATACCTTCACCGATGGATAAAGTGAAGTGTCAATCACGCGACAGTGCATGACTCTATCGATTTCCTCATCTACCCGAATGACGACCCAAGAGCCAGGCGTGACAGGGCAAGGCGCCCTAGAGTTTTCGAAAAGCATCTCTAGGTTGCCCTCGTTGAACCGCATACTCATCGCAGCTACTGGCAGAGTATCATACACAGAACGCGGTTGCTCGGTTGCACCATGGTACGGTACGCCTTGGAGGCTTCCTTGTTGATTAGACACGGGAGGCGGAACAGCCAAACTGAGACCAGTAGGAAATTCTTTTAGCTTTCCGGCGCGCGCGCTGGAATAGCAAAAGCTGACTAGTAGATCGACGACCTTGGGCTGAGAGATTATTTCGTGCTCTATGCTTGGACCAAAACCCAGTGACATATACTGATACAGACACAGCGGATTGTCGCAGACGTAGGGCTTGATTGCTTGCAGGTCATCCGACATCTTGCTGAAACAAATCAAGCAGAACTCGGTACACCGCACGAAATGCCTTAGCACAAACTGCATGCCGACCAGAGGTAGTGAATGTGGCTGGCCGACCGAAGCGGTGATGTGATCGGCGGTAACAATCCTGGGCCAAGTAGTGCTGGCACGCTCGTCCTCGTAGTACTTATCATGCGCGGCGTCATGCTCTTCGTAAAATGAGTTTAGGAGCACATCGTTGTAGAACAGTTCAGCGCCTTGCCACGGCATTCCTCCGTAACGGTATTTCAAGAGCATAGAGAATCGTTGCTCAAATAGTTCATTGAGGGGCCTGGAAACGAAGGAATTGCGGAAGCCGCTCGACTGCGCAGGCAAGGTATTTTGAGATTCACCCTGTTGGGAATCCTCTCGCTCGTTCCCGTTCTCTTTGTTCGCCGCAGCAAACGCTGCAACAGCCTCTTGTATGGTCGGCTTGTAGGTCGTTGATACACCGATACGGAGTCCAAAGTTGCGGCGAGCTTGATGGGCATCATAGGACCGGTAGTCATCCATGCTCTTGTACCCTAACGGGTAGTGACATATTGCGACAAGGTATTCCGAAGGCTCAACCTGCCATGCCTTCATAGCTTCCTCTGAGATGCCCAGCTTGGATATGCGAATGGCTAGGGATATATAACATCCCAGGCCCACCATGAGACCTCCTAAATGTCCTACCTTGAAGCCCTCGCTCTTGGCGACTAAAAGGTCGTTCCGAATACGGTGCCTAAATTCAGATGTAGTCGCTACAGAAGGTTCACAAGATTCTGAAGTATGTGTGATGCGAGGCTTGGGTAGGAGGTCGTCGTCACCAGGGAAATAGTCTTCTTCATCTTCATCTTCGTCTTCGTCCTCGTAACCCTCGAAACCATCAAACTCTTGCGAGCCAACCATCTGGCTATCACCGTCGCCATCAGTCGACTCAAGTCTGCTAGACACAAGTTCGAGAATCTGAGGTATCGTCTTGGCTGTAGCGGCATCGGTGATATCATTGAGCGCGGCAGCAACACCTGCGGAGGCGTTATCTCCTGCGAAGATCATGCAGGTGTGGCTCGAGGGATATTCGGAGACATCTGTAATGAGGGCGGAAACATTGAGCGGCTGGCCATCGGCCATACAAATGAAGGTGAACTCGCCATCGTCTGCGCCTGGTCGCACATCCGAGATGCCAGCAGCTAGGAGAAGACCATCGGCAGCCTTCTGGAGGTCGGCCTGAAATTGCCTGCGTGGCATCTTGGATTGAGGGAGAAAGAAAGATCAACCTGAGCGTTTATGGGAGGTTATGGCACAGTGCCGTGCCGCTTGTCCGGTAGCGACTGCCAGACGCCGGTGTTTCGTGGGTTGCGCAGGTTTCAGGTGAACCAGTAGAGATATAGAAGCGCGGCCTGCAACAGGCACAAGTGAGGGCGAGTTGGCTTTATGTAGGTGACGTCAAAGAGCCCTGTTTGTGCCAGCAAGCAAACACTGGAGGAGGCGAGTTGGGCAATCAAGAGCAGAATTACCACTACTGGGTAACTTGAGGGGACAAAGATCACTCTTGGGGTTGGACTTTTTGTTATGTGAGAGGGTATGAAGATGAAAGAGAGGAGAGGCGGGCGTCATAAAAGGCTGGCCAAAGTCGTGGTAGCGAAAGAATTACAAGGGCAAAGAGAGAGGAAGGTGATGGCGGAGGAGGATGAGGATGAGGAGCGGGCACAAAACAAAGACTAACTGTTCACCTCTATCCAGACAGATACGGCCTAACAGGGACTTAGCAAGGCTCCATGGCGGTGCTGCAAAGCTGCCTGGCAGACGGTCAACGAGAATGGTATGGCCCAAGGGTTGGGGGCTCTGATGCCTGGAGATGTGGAGCCTGTGGCTGAGGCCCCCGCAGTCTAAAGTGGAGCTCTCCTACTCAGGACTGCCTACTCACCGTTCCTCGCCATTTCCCTGGCCATTGACCAGACACCAATTGCCATCATCGCAGGAGGTATTTGAATGGTGTACACGAGAGAAAGACAAGTCTCTTGATAAAGACCAGGATGCCGTCATCTTGGAGCTTGAAATAGCGCGCCCCTCCCCCACTTTTTTAGGTGCGGGAACGAAGCTCCATCGGCCAAGTGCAAGCAAGGGTTCCGAGCGTTCGGCACTGCTTTCTAGCCCTATCTTGGGACATCTGCAATACTTTCCCTCCGTATCTCGGCGTCCACCATGGCCGTATCCCATGAGAAGCCGGGAACGGCAGCGGCCAAGTCCACACATGTATCCGATCCCGCGCTTGATCCATTCCTCCAATCGCAATTCGACCCCGCCGACTACCTCAATGCCACGCTTCCCTCGCTATCGCTAAGCTCAAGATCAAAGACAGGCAATGCCGCCTCGTTGGCCGACCTCTCCTCTCAGACCCAAGACCTCCTCTCACAGCTCAATGCACATACTACCCGGTTATCTGCCATACTTACGCAATTGGCCGATGACATACTGCGGACTGGAGGGCGACTGGCTTACGAGGTCGAGGTATTGCGGGGAGAGGCAGTCAGCCTCACAGAGACCTTAACGGATGGTCTAAAGAACGATGTTGAGAAATTTCTGCCAGGTGGGCTCACTCTGAAAGCAGACCCTGTAGAAGGAGAACCTGGAAGCCCTGCGCCAGCACAAACAGAAGCCCCCAGCGAAGCGCTACCAGCGCTGCCAGCGCTAGTAGAACCCGAAGAAACTACTCCCGAATACATCTCCGACCTCCATACCCTGACCACGGTCCGCTCGCGCCTTGAGAATGTAATCAAGGTTTTCGGAGAAGCCATGCACTGGACTATCCCTCCCAGCGAGGTATCCCTAGGAGCCTCCCTAATCAGCGTCTCTGCCCCCGAGCCCGGTACCGATAGTGCCTCACGCGAGCAAAAGGGCAAAGAATTTGCCACCTCGCTCCGCTCCGAGATTGCCGACCTTATCACAGGCGATCCAGAAGGCGGCATGCACAAGGCCGAGGTGCGCATACAAGCGCTGAGAGACCTCGCTCAGGTATGGAAGGGTACGGCCGAAGAAAAAGCAAGAACAAAATTCATCGATGGCCTGGTGAAGCTGGCGGAGGACAAGCAGCGAGAGCTGGACAAGGAGAAGGACAAGAATAAAGATCGAGGCCAGCAGAAGCCAGTCCGTAGCTCTAGTACCTCAAAGTCACAGCCACAGCCTCCGCAGCAGAGAACCGGTGGCTTTCTAGAAAATCTGCAAAGAATACGAGGCTTTGTGGAATAAACCATGCTTTGCTCAATCCATTTACATTGCGAAGCACATCACGTGATCACGCGTCGCCATGCTCTCAACTATCAACACGTCTCTTAATCTGCCCCTCTTTCTCAATGGCATCTAGCAATGGCTCAAGTATGGAAATCATTCGTCTTCGTCTGTCATTATCCTACTCTGAACAAAAACAAAAATTTGTCCTTGAGCCTATACAAACAATAAAACTAGGTGGCTCGTCTATTCTAGCTACTCCTAGGCTCCGACAGTTGCCCCGCAGCAAGGGCGGAACGCGGCACCCCAAAACGAAAGAACAACAAAAAACAGTAAGCAGCCGTAAAATTAAACTTGTGCGAATCACAACATGCCCAAAACGCCCATCCTGATGTCGGGGTATCTCAATGACCAAACTCCCATGTACTCCAATCCTAATCAAATGCCCATCAAACTCAGATTGTGGGGATGCCCTCGAGAACAGCCATGGCACGTTGGCCCTCTGCCTCGAATGCCAGTATCTGTTGTTCGCAGGCCATGCGGAGTTTTTCCTCGCCCCTCTTTGCGTTGTGCAGAACCCATTGTTCAATCGTCATACGTTTCTCTTCGTCCGTCAGGCTAGCCATAACGTATTCATACAGTTCTTCGGGCGTCATGTCCGCCGTCTGAGCGTTATCCAGACCAGAATCAGCAAGGATTTCGCTGAGATAACCGTGGGCTTCTTCCTGGGATGTAATCACGGCATCAACGTCGGCAGGCTTCCAGTTGATGGGCTCTGGTATATCATCTGCCTCACTCATCATAGGTGGGGTCCTCTTGGGTGTTCCAACTGCTAAGTCCGCCGGCAGGCTTGACATGTCAAAGTCGTCCATGACAGTGTCTCTGATTCCTGTCGGTGTCTTCTTAGGCGTTCCCACAGGAAGATCACTAGGGAAACTTTCAATACTTGAAGATCGCACACGTTTCGGGGCAGGCTGGATGACTTCAGAGTACTCGGTTTCCTCAACTGCATCGCTCGTCCGCTTCTTGCCACGTGTGGCTCTCTTGCTTGCCGTAGATGCCGTTGACGAGCGAGTTGAGGCACGCTTAGCTTTAGAAGCACGTTTTGCTTTCTTGGGTGCTGGGGCGGGTTTGTAGAGTTCGGAGAGGACGAAGAAGAGACAGTCAGGAGATCTTCGACGGTGCTCCTGCATAGGATCGTCGCCAATATCCCATGCGTCTAGTGCCAGAGAGCAGTATGGGCAGGTAACTCCATCGGGCGTGTCTGTTGCAGGATCGTAGAACCAGCCGGCGTCCACCATCTGGTCGACACTGGGGTAACCAGACGCGACGTCGAGTGGCCACATATCGCCAAAGGTCGAACGGCGTGCTGCCACCATGGCATCTGAGGTCGGATCATCTTCAGTCCTGCCGGGGTCGCCCGCACGGAGACGGATACAGGCGATAGTTGCGAAACCACAGCTTGGGGAATGTGTTGAGTGTTCATATGCAGGGATGTCCGCTTCCTCCCAGCCATCTAGTTGGCACTCGCAGCTGAAGCATTGTACGTTGTCGGGGCTCGTAGAGGTAGGCCTCCATACAAAACCGGCGTACGCCAAATCCTGCGCCGAGGGTGCTGTAAGGGGCCATGAAGCCTTTGATTTCGTTCCTGCCTTTTTAGATCTGTTGCTTGTGCGTCGTCCCTTGCCTGTCGTAGCTGCTCCCTCAAAGGTGGCTAGACGCGCGTGGTAAGAAGCCAGCGACGCATCCATGACGTTGGTAGGAGTGATGGTAGTTGTGGAGATCTTTGAGTGTTGGTTTTGCTTTTTTATTCGGCCGGCTATGGAAGATAAAGATGTGTTTTGCAATACTGAATATTGCGAATTTCGAGTGGGGTGGACTGGGTGAGAATGGAGAAAGAAGTCGCGTCTTCAGACGCGGCAGGCCGACCACAAACATCTGATCCGCCAAGACCTGTGGAGCAACAACACGCTTACGTCATCCGTTCGTTCACTTTGCGCGACTTGAGGCATTATCCTCCCAACAAGATGTATCGCCGCCAACCAATATTTCGGATAGCCTGGTGTAGAAGGCCTCTGGTGCAGGTCAATCGCCGCTTTATATCATCCGAAAAGACAACACCTACAGACACCCCCCATGCGTTCCAATCGCTGCCACCAGACTGGGAAGATGAAGCTCCCTCGTTGTCGGATTTTACAGAACTCCCGCATAAAGACTTTGGCAAAAATCAGTTAATGCAAACGAATGAAGACTTTAAACGGGCATTGCGAGGCATACTACGGAAATTCCCGCCAGTCACATACGCATTTGCCTACGGCTCTGGTGTCTTTCCCCAGTCGGCTGCGACAGCTTCACGCACGACGCAATCACCTCATCCGAACCCTCCCGATGCGATATTGAAATGGCAAAAAGGAGGAGGAAAAATGATTGACTTTATCCTGACGCCTCGCTTCTCTCAACACTTCCACTCGCTCAATCTACGCGAACACAGAGATCATTATTCTTTCCTTGGATCGCTCGGCTCAGGAGTCGTCAGCCATGTACAGGAGAAGTATGGCGCAGGTGCTTACTTTAACCCGTACGTTGTAGTGAACGGAACAATGATCAAATACGCCGTCGTCAATTACGAAACGCTCCTCCGCGACCTTACAGAGTGGGACACATTATACTTTGCTGGCCGCTTGCACAAGCCCGTTAAAATCCTCCACGAAGAACCCAATCTCCGTGTCGCGAATCAACGCAATCTCCTCTCTGCAGTTCGATGCGCGCTTCTCTTGCTGCCTGAGAAGTTTACAGAGAAGGAACTATACTCTACAATCACAGGCTTGAGCTATCAGGGCGATCCGCGCATGCAATATGGTAGCGAAAATCCCAAGAAGATCGACAACATCGTCACTCACCAGATACGAAACTTTCGATACCTCTATCACGATCTCATAATGTCGCTCCCGAACATCAGGTACGCCGACGAGTCTGTGATTCGCAAGCCGGACTGGATGGAGGACCCGGGGCTGGACCAGAAGATGTCGCAAGACATGGACCCAGAGCGTCGCGCCAGTATGGTCAGGCGATTGCCCAAGAAGTTCCGTGAAAAGGTGTACTTCCAGTACCGCGGCAAGTTTGGCATCTCAGGCCGCGAGTACCAGCAGATGCTGGAGGCAAGGAAGGACGAATCTTCAGGAGGAATCCTGAAGAAGCAGGTTGCCGGTGACTTTGATAGGCGAATAGCGGCTGAGAAAGACATCCCACAGATGGTGACCAAGGCGATCAACCAGACCGTCAAGTGGCCATCAACTGTGCAAACTCTCAAGGGACCCTTTACGGCGGGCCTATCAAAGTCATGGAGGTACTTGCAAGAAAAGCGGGAGAAGGCGAAAATGAAGTAAGATCCAATGCCGCAAGTACTTCAAGCCATTCTTCCGGCATTAATTCAGTTCGAGTATCAACAAAAGCGGATAGCAAGCGAGCGAGCAAAGGTCGTCTTCTTCTGCAGTCTCGCACTTGATATATAATCGCATTAGCCGCCGTCGCCAAGTTCACGGGTCAGGCTTTGTATACGCGAAGAATTAGAGTGATGCCAAATGTACAATTACCACGTCAATATACGCAGCAATGCTCAATTGTGTTGACTACTATTCTGTGCTACATACAAAGTTTCCGAGTGTCTGTTGTATACTGCCTCCTAATGTTGGCTGTCTAATGACTCAGCGGTGCATATACTTTCCCACAATGCTCCACTTTTCCCACTCTGGATTTTCACTACCTGTTGGCATTCCCAACAATTCCTCTTCAATCTGAGCATGGCTGTATTGTTTTGTATATATATTTTGTCTACTTTTGGGATTAGTCATCACAACAACCTCAACCACCCACAATACGGCTCAATGGTCTAGTCGTATGATTCCTGCTTTGGGTTTTCCAGCCTATTCTGCAGGAGGTCCCGGGTTCAAATCCCGGTTGAGCCCATTTACCTTCTTTTTGCTTTTTGGATACGATGATGGATGTGGGGATGGGGCAAGGTGACGCTCTGGAAACTCCACAAGCAAAGCTTGGTACCCTCTTAACACCTAACCTTTTTTGTTACGAAGACGAAATACTCCATGTCCCATTGAGATGATGAGAAAGTAATGTTCAGATCAACAAGTGACGTAATACATGAGATAATACTAAGAAGACAAGTCAAGAAATAAAACAAGAGAACTGATTCAACAACGAGGTATCATGCCCAAATGGTAAAAACATTCAGCCCAATTCCAAAAAACACAAACTCGAAAGATAAACAAAAACAATTATCAATCGCATGGTATCCCGTCTCCAAGCCGCAAACTCCAGTCCATCAATCCCCAAGAAAGAGCAATCGAACATGGAAACCAAGCTCACCGCGGTGTCTGCGGCCACTCAATCTGCAACCCCCTTGAGCGATCGATCTCAAGCCCCGCCCGCTCATCTCTCCTCACACTCTCGCCCATAACGACCGTAGCAAGACGCTGCAGCACGTCTTCGCCGGAGATCCAGTCGCCGCGCCTACCCGGTGCGCAATTGCCTACTTCTAGTTTCCTGCCTGTGACTTGCTCATACTCGACTTCGCTCTTGATGCTCATCAGGTCCATGAAGACGCTGCAGAGCACGATGAGCTCGGCAGTCATGACCATGCTGTACCCCCAGGCATGGAACACTGCACCGACATAAGGTAGGTTGCCGTTGTCAGCGAGGAAGCGGCGGAGGAGGTAGCCGTTTGTGGTTGATAGCGGAGTGGGAGGGACGTTGAAGGGACAGAAGAGTGCGGGATGTTTGAGGTGTGTATTGTATAATTTGTCGAGGGCTTTGTAGTGTGTTCGTGTCCAAGGCTCAACTTTTGGTAACGGTGTCATGCGTGAAAGGATAGGGTGTGGTTGTAGTTGAGATAAGCGCGAGGGTGTTGGCTTGGCGCTAGATGTCGCGACAGGCTGTGCGCGGGGTTGTGGATGACCACTGGGGGTGGCATCTGATTCCTCCTCCTCTCCTTCTTCTTCTTCTTCCTCATCGTCGCTGGAACTAGTTTCAGACGATAGTTCAATCACTTCCGGTTCCTTGGAACGCGCTACGTTCTGTCGTGATTGTGGCACGGGTACATTGCCTGGCCGCTCTACTGTCTTGGAAAGCGGTGAAGGCTTTCGTGCAGAAAGCAACCGCTGTTCGAAACGTCGCTGCATCTTTGGTGGGCTCGATGGCAAGTGACTGATGTCTTGATGTGTTCTGCTAGGCTCGGTAACCTCTGTAATCTCATTCAGACTTCGCTCTTGCGGTTCATAGGCGTCCAGGTACTCGTTGGCCTCCTCGCGCACACGTATAATGGTAGAGGCAGTATTTCCTTCCATCTCCATTCGGAATTGTTGCTGGTCGGATGCTGCTGAGATTTTGCTGTCGCCATCGACAACCGTGTGGAACGGTGAGCTTTGCGCGAGTGGCAATGTAGACTCTTCATACTGCTGTACGGAGCTCGTAGAAATGTCCCCACTGTGAAGCTCCCGCCTCAAGGGACTGCTCTTCTTTGGCGAATTTAGGAGTGCAGGGAAGCGAGGTGGCGTATCCAAGAATGGGTTTAGTCTCGCTTTCGGGGGTGTCTTTTTCGTTTTTACGGGCGAAGGAGATTCTGGTACAAAACTGTCCCCCTGGTCAAGAAGCTCAGAGAGGCTCACCTTCTCTGCTTCTTGTCTTCTTGGCCGCCGCCTCTGGAACCGAGAAGGCCGCCTCTGGTCCGCAACATTGGGCACGTTTGACTGGAAGAATATACCAGCGTCACTTTCTTCGCCTTCAGCATTTGGCTCTTCGACTTGCATAGGCTGCTCATCGGGTTGTGCGGAATCAACTTTTTGGGCTTCTTTACTGCCCTCTGATTGTTGGACGGCTGCTGGCACTGAGTGTGCTGAGGCAGGCTCTTGCTGCGACTCCGTCTCATCAATTACTTTCCTGCGGCGCCAAGTCCGGGCAGCTCTCCCGCGAGCAGGCCTGACAACGCTGGCGTCTGTGAAGATATCGTGGGCCTCAGGGGACTTCTCTGCTGGAACTTCCTCTGGATTTATCGAGATCACTGAGCGACTGGCCTCCTCTTGCCATATATCACCAAAGTCATCGTGTTGGACTGGCTCTCCTGCAGGACCGGGGACCTCCTCTTGAACCTCATTCATGGCGGTGTCTTGTTGATCTTGGCTTTTGGCTGCGCGGGGTGGAGTGTCGGTTCGCCAGCTCATTGCGGATTCGCTCCTCGCAGGACTCAACGGTGCTGTGGTCGCCTCTTCAACATCCAACACTGGGTATTGGACGTCGCTCGCTGCAACCGCTGGTGCCACCGCTGTGACAACATGATCCTGGTCTTCGGGTGTAAGAAGACGCGATTGCTGATATTTTCGTTGCGTTCGGAACACACCTGCTTTCGGCCCTGCCGCAGATTGGCCCCTGATAGGGCTCGAGGGGCCAGGCACATTGTCCTCCTCTGTCTGATTTTGCGCAAGTTGCTCGCCAAGTCGCAAGCCTGCCTGAAGATCTTTACGCGTCCCTGAGCTGAAACCACGGAACAAATCGTCCAATGAGCCTCGTTTTCCGTCAGGCGTCTTTTGTGAGGCATCTGGGGTGAGTCGTGTGGGGTCGAGAAGACCTTGTAAAGCTACACCGGCGGTGACTGCTCGCCCAAGTGTCGGAGATGGAGATTTGGTCAGAGCAGGCTGAACAGGATGCAGAGCAGGGGGTGCAGATGGAATTTCAGAGTCCATAGCGGGTGTGACATGGCGCGCCAGTTTTGGACGCACTGTCTCGATGGGTGCAGCTTTTAGAGAGGCCTGACTCGTTGAGACGTGCTTTTCATGGGTTGAAGATTCAGAACCTGATGCCACGTGCGTAGCTGGTCCCAAGTACTCGTTCCTGAGTGATGATTTGGCCTTTGGAGCATTGGTCTGCAAATCTCGGGGCTGTGTCGGACTCAGTCGATTCGTGTTGCTCTTCAATGATTCGACAGATATCATACTAAAGGTCTCGCTATCCAACATCGTCGTGTCATCTGGCATCCTGGTGGTACCTTCATCAAAAGTGAAATGTTGACCCTGTGTTTCCTCCTCCTCGTCTTCATAGTCTTGAAGATATTCGGGTGCACCATCATCACTAGTGGCGTCGGCTGAATCACTCGATTGCGCCGAGGTCTCGCTTGGTGTAAGTACGTCTCCTTGGTCATCCTCTGTTCCACTCAAGGGTTGGTTTTCGGGAAGATCGTTGTTGTCTTCCTCTCCGCTGGCGGGCGTAAGGACATCACTGCCACTTTCCGCTTCGTCGGATTCAATAACGGCCACCCTGTTTGCATGTGGTGTACCTCTGCGTGCGCGTACATTGTTCCTCGAATTGGTATGAGCTGGTGTGCCTAGGCTGGGAGACGGCTCTGATCGTGTAGGCGATGTTCGCAATGCATCATCCATGGTTTGATCATCGAGAGCTGCAAAACGCGCGTTCTTTTTCGAATTGTCTGATTCAGCCTCCGTGCTTGGCAGAGGTGTCTCTTCGAATGTGGCTTGTAGGATAGCTTCGGCCTCTTCTGCCACGCTGGTCTCGTCATACTCAGTCGGTGGCTGTACGCTCTTCCTTGGACGGCCTCTTCGCTTCCTAGGCGGCACATCGGTATCAACATCAGCTGCGCTGGAATCGCCGCCTCGCACGATTTTGCTTGGAGAGCTGAATTCTGCAGGTCTCTTGATTGGTGTCCCCTTTCGTTTGGGCTTGGGCGTCAATCCAGTCTCAGACTTCCTGGGTCGGCCGCGGGGGCGCTTGACAGGAGACGACGCATCCGGGTCTTTTAGTGGTATGGTCGTCGTCTTTGTTCTTGTCACCCTCTTTACTGATGGTGATTCGGCATTTTCTCCGTCTTCCGGTTCAGCCTGGACGGTGACCTTGATGCGCCAAGGGCTTGCGCCGTTACCTCGCGGTGTGCTCATGATCATAGACTTGGAAGGCGACGAGAATACGACCTCTGATGTCTCCAGCCGCCGGACCTGTTTCCTTGGCGAGCTGATCATGATGGGTTTCCGAGGGCTGGATGTGCGGTGCGATGAGGTGATGTTTTCGTCGAAAGAAATGGCTAGCGGATCCGGGCTTGAGTCGTTGCTGCGATCCGAGTAGGCACCCGGACTCGCCGTTATGCTGCGACCGCGGGGCGCCATGTTCAAGGGTCTCTGTGAGGATGGTGGGTGGAGGTTGTTAGTGCGATAGGGATGGCATGGTGGGGAATAAACGTGCAACCGTGGGCATGCGGGACGGGTGACGCGTTGTTGTCGTGGCAACAATCTAATCACGACACCAGTCCACGCGCTGGGCGCAACATTACGAACAAGGCAGCCAGCTTGGAGATCAAAGGACATAGCATGGAGTCGAAATGGGTATCCACGGGTGAGTCGCGCATATTATTGTGTATATTCCAGTACTAATGCATGCAGAATCTACAAGGAAATCGGCCCTGGCACACGCATAGCGCTCTCCAAGCTCGCCGTCGAAAAGTTTGAAGAGACTGGCCGCCCACTGCGCATCGCTATTGATACGTCGATATGGCTTTTTCAGATCCAAGCTAGCAAAGGCAAGTCTTCTCAGGGTATGCGTATACCGTATGATGCTGACTGCAACTAGGCGGTACGAACCCTGCATTGCGAACATTCTACTACCGCCTCCTGCGCTTGATTTCTCTTGCCATCCACCCTGTCTTTGTATTCGATGGACCCAACAAACCGCCATTTAAGCGCAACAAGCGCACAGGCCCGACTGTCGCCTCCATCCCCGAGTTCCTTGCAAAACAGCTCTTGAAGCAGTTTGGCTATCCCATACATCTTGCGCCAGGCGAGGCAGAAGCAGAGTGTGCACTGCTGCAAAGGGAAGGAATTGTTGATGCAGTTTTGAGTGAAGATGTGGATACGCTCATGTTTGGGAGTGGCGTCACTCTCCGAAATTGGTCTCCAGAGAAATCAGGGAAGACACCTACTCATGTCAACGTATATGATGCTGTCGAAACTAAAAACGGGCCGTCAGGGCTGGATCGAGAGGGCATGATCTTGGTCGCGCTAATGAGCGGAGGAGACTATGTACCAGAGGGTATACCTGGATGCGGCCCCAAGACTGCATGCGAGGCAGCCAAGGCGGGTTTTGGTGCCGACCTGTGCAAGATTCCACGAAACGACTCTAGAGCCATAGCCCAATGGAAAGAGCGGCTGCAACACGAGTTGAAGACAAACGAAAGCAAGTTCTTCAAACGCAAACACGGCGCACTCAAGATCCCGGACGACTTTCCCCGACTCGATATTCTCGGATACTACACACATCCAGCGATCTCGAACCAAGCAGGATTAGACAAGTTGCGTCGGTCCATCAATTGGGATCGGGACCTCGACTTTCCGGGTCTGCGCGAGTTTACACAAGATGCTTTTGACTGGGCCAAACTCGAGGGCGCAAAGCACTTCATTCGCAGTCTGGCACCATCTCTTGTTGTGCGTCAACTGCGGATCCGCGCTGAACAGACTAATCGCCTGCCTACTGACAATCTGCAAGCCATACAAGAAGACGAATCAACGCTCATCAAAGGTCTTCACGGCAAAAGACAGCATGCCGTTACCGACCATTGTACCGAGCTTCGCGTAAGCTTCACACCTGTCGAGTTGGTAAAGATTGATCTTAGCCAAGAGGATCCAGATGATGATGTAGAGCCCCCATCGCGTAGTTCCCAACAGGATGTAGGAGATGAGGATATGGACGAAGACATGCCCTTGGACATGGAGGACGAGGGTCCTAGGAAACGCGGACCGACCAAGTTCGACCCTGAAAAACCGGCACGTATATGGGTCATGGAAACATTTGTCAAAGTCGGTGTGCCACTCACTGTTCAAGATTGGGAGGCCGGACGACAGGCAAAGCAGAAACCTAGACGAGCAGCATCGGTTCAGGACACTGGCACTGCCGCACCGAAAGCCAAGACAACCACAAGGCGGACAAGGACGACTAAAGACCAACCCCAAGTTCGAATAGAATCTTTTGCAAAGGTCACAAAACCTGGAGTAAGAGCTTCACGAGCACTTGCAAAAGCCCAAGATAAGGCTAGCGATCTTCCAGCGCCATCATCGCAGACTACTGCAACGACGGAGTACGAAACAATTGACTTGTTGTCCTCATCGCCAGTGAAGCCACGGACCTTAACACCACGACCACAACTGGAGCCTGAAGAATCGCTCTCCCCAGTTCTAGAAGATTTGCCTCCAAGTGTAATCAAACGGAGAAGGCGAGCTCCAATTCAGCGTTCAAAAACGCTTCCTGCTGACACTAGCGACGTCTTGGATCGGCCTTCCACACCTCCACTTTTGAGGACAATAGAAACCCTGGATTTAGCCGAGTCTCCAGTGCATCCTTCCCCTTTACAGCTACCAGCAAAGAAGGCGAGGACAAGAACATTGAAAGAGGCGGCTGTAACCGGAGCGTCGCGGGACTCATCTGTGCCGAAACAGACTACCTTGGATGCATGGCGAGCATCGGCGACACCAACCAAACAGCGGGGCACAACTCCTTTGTTTGATGTAGCACCAGTCCCTGCGCCACCACAATTCCGTAAACCATCTGAAGATGTGGAATCACTGGACTTGACGTTCTTCTCACCAAAGCGCCCAGAAGCCACACGACGTTCTCGAAAGGAGGTTAGCAGTGAGCAGGATTCTGTAACATCATTGACAACGCGGCCGCCATTAACGTCAATATCTTCAAACACATCTGCAAGCTCGACCTCATCAGTCTCCGCGTTGGGCAAGAAGAAAAGCATTAAAGACGTTTTCCGCCCAAACCCACCTCGCCGTACTTCGCCACGTCTTAGTAAAACGACATCAGAGCGCTCCAGTGTTGATACTCTAGACCTCACGTCACCTCGTCTTGCTGCAGCAAAACCACGGTCGACATCACCACAAGCGGATGTGCTTGATCTGACAGAACACTCGTCACCCGTAGGGGAATGTGATCCGGCGCCACAACCGACGGCTGCAACACCGACATCACCTCCAATGCGTTCATCACGGTCACCAAGCGAAGAAAAGTCCGTATCACCACCCGCAGCATGGAAAGCCCAGAGCAAGAAGAAACGCGCAATCATTCTCAGAAAAAGTGTAGTAGGTGCCTGGGACTACGTCGATGTTGACAGCCCAGAGAAGCTAGCAGAGCAGACACCGGGGCCCTTGCTCAAAGGCAAAGATAGACGCAAATGGAGAGAAAGCGCGGTAGAGGTCTTGGATTTGACGTAGACCTGAGCCTGCACTCGGGGTGGGTATTAGATGGGGAAGCGCAGCGTTGCTCTTTGTTTGCTTTAACGAATGCATGGTTACATGATGGGAAGCATGAGGCTGGAGTTTTTGCGAAAGATATCAGTTTATATTGTATTATTCCTAATATTCATATCGGACTGTCTCCTAGTTGCCAGCTAAGTGAATTAGTTAGTATGTATGGTTGTTGACCGAAAACACCAAGTAGATCATAAAGCTACTTCGCACTCGTATCCAATAACGGATGACACATGGCGGGGTGACAAGCACCATCCCACACACTTCTCCTCGCTTACCCGCCCCTCTCGCCCACATCACCCCTCCTTCCACCCCACTACCCCAAACGATGACTCTTCAGATGTTTCTCATTCCTAAAAGTTATCAATTTGATAAACAAATAATTACCCACCTTCTCCATCAATCCAAAGAGTCACAAAGCTCCGGCCTGATGGTCTAGTGGTATGATTCCTGCTTTGGGAAGATTCAGATCCGTCTGTTTTCAAGCCTATTCTGCAGGAGGCCCCGGGTGTAAGTTCACCCATTCAGATTCGCAAAGCGAACGCAGTATCTAACAGCGTTACAGTCGAATCCCGGTCAGGCCCCATCCTTTCTTTTTTGCTCTTTTTTTTTTTGCACCTCTGAGGAGGTACAGATTGCATACTAAGCTTGAGATGTTTCGAATCTGTTCTTTTTATAGATTTAGTGTAGACCAATCGTACAAATAATAGATATACTAACTAGTGTAGTTTTGATTTGTTTATTTTATTTACGTGATTGATGCTACTTGTCGTAGCTCTAACTAACAACTACCAATACTTGTCCGTGATTAACTTGAGACCCGCCTCGTCAAAGACCCTTATGCCTCTCTGCTCAACCCTGGGTCTGGTTCTAAACGTCTTCTCCACCTGACCAGTCTTTGCATTTACACCCTGATGCTCATACTGCTCGCGCTTAATCAAACAGCCCTCAATCGCCCACTTGGGCACCGCCTCATCATACCTAACGCCCTTATCCTTCAACATGAGCTCAATAAGCTCATTCGTCTTCTTCCCATGCAGCTCACTCGGCGTATACAACGTTCGTGCAAACGAAGAAACCGCATTCCTGACTGCATCATTGCGACAGCGCCAAATAATATTATTCAGCGCCTCCTCCATCGACGGGACGGGGAAAAACCTCGCGTCAAAATGCGCTGTGCCAAGTACATGCTCCATGTCGCCCTTTACAGGTGGGTCGGGCATTTCGCGCAGCGCAAGCTCGAGATGCCGATTGAAGCGTACAGAACAGTAGCTCGCACTCAGACTGCAGAGTTTCTGGACTCGCTCGTTGAAGGTTTGCACGCCGGAGGGGAAGATGAGGGTGATTTCGTCGGATTGCGTGTAGGCGAGGGTGGCTTGCGGGAAGAAGTGGAGGAGGTCGCTGCTGGTGCGCGTCATGGCGGTGTGGATGCGCTCGTCGAAGGGGCGAGAGAAGCGCGAGGTGAAGCGGGAGAAGCCGTGGCCGTCGAGGCGCAGGATGATGGGTTGGTTGGTGGGGAGGATGTGGTCGATGGATGCTTCGTAGGAGCGCATTCGGGATGCGAGGGAGGGGGGTTGAGATGCATCGTCGGATGGTGGGGAGTCCATTGAGGAGGGGAGATGTGTGGTACTTTTTTTTTGCTGGAGTTATTTTATGGAATGATATGGAGTTTGATTGGGGTTTATGCTCGAAATTTGGGGTTGCTCTGGAGAATGTGCTTGGTGGTGATTATGTGAACTAATTTTACAAGAATTACGAAAGCCGGCTATGAGGACGAATACGTTGGATTGTTTTGGAGCAATTGAAGCTCCAGCAAAGAATTAGTCTACGATGTAATCATGAATGAAAGAGAATAAGAAACTTGCGGTTGTATTATGTAGCAGCTAAATTCTGAGTTGTCTTGGAGAGATACGACTCATCTGAATGACACCAAAGTTCATGACGTCGCAGGTCTGTGCACGCAGTCCAGACACCCCTCGTGGAACTTGTTCTTGCCAATCCGAACCCTTTGTCTCGATAGAACTATCAAGAACTGTATCTCGCTTTATTCTACAAGAGATAGACCATAATGTTGTGGAAGTGGGGCTGGAGGACACTAGCTCGGTATATGTGGTATGCTGTAAACCTGTGGGTCCCAGGATGTCTAGCTCGGCATTGCTAAAAGGAACGACAAGTAGGTCAAGGATTGTGTCACGTACAAAAAAAGGAGAGATTAAATGGCGACAAAATAGAGAAAAATAGTCGCACAGACTTAAGTTGAGTGTGTAGGCGACTGTTTGAACGAATGGGACGGCGGAGGGTTATTTTCGATTCTTGTCTTTGATTCTGGTGTTTATGCACTTTATCTGAATAGCAAAATATGGGGTTCGATATTTGTAGTTGCGTGTTTCCACGTAATGTATGGATTCTATCGTTGATCAAAATATATTTCAAAATTGAGAAAAAGGTATTCCAAAAATGTTACATGTCACAATGTTGCGTACGCTCCCTATTAGCCCGTCACCATCAGAAATTCTCTCAAGGCAAGCACGACAGGATAGGCTTGAGCTTGTTGAGAATCTGAGTCTGGACAGCGGCATCATTCACAGTCGACTTGTCGTTTGCATCACCAGGGCTAATGGTAACATAGCAGTCCCTGCCCCTGAGCAGGATGACATCAGCCTCCCAGGGCAGGCGCGTGCTACCGCACCATTCTGCATCGCGGGAGCTAAAGACGCCAGTGTTGATGCGAGTAAAGATGAACTTGAACTGGCTGGGGTCGCTGCATCGGGAGTTGGAAACTTCGGGAAAGTTGACGTTCAGGAATGTGTTTGCGGGCAGGTACGGCTTGCCACTTTTGATGACGGTGCTAGTTACGTTAAGAGCGAGGTCGGCGTAGACTTTGCTGTAGAGAGGCGTGGGGGCGTTCCATCCAGTAGGCTCGCCACTCTTGCCTGAGAAGGCAATGGCTGGGATCTGGGCCGTCTTGACTGCGTAAACGGCGGCTCCAACGGTTCCAGAGAAGGGGAGTTGGACAGCAACATTGCTACCGACATTCGGTCCGGTTAGGGCAAGCTCAGGCTTGGCCCCGTTCCAGAGGGCAGGCGCAGTAACATCAATGCCCTGCTTGATGGATGTGACGGGAAACGAGTTGACGTAATTCAGGCGAGGATCTGTTGCGTTTGCGCCAGTTGGGGGACTCCCGCCTGGGCAAGAAGCGTGGATGCAGCCGTCGCTGTCGACAGTTGTCGGCGCTTTGTCGGAGGAGCCTTGGAAGGTCAGTATACATGGGTTGATAGTTGTGTATAAATTTGCAGCTACATACCTGAACCAGACTGGTTCTCAGCCGGTCCAGAGAGCACTACCTGATGGCCTGCCGAGTTCAAGACATCAAAAAAGGTCCGAAGGTTAATTTCTGACCAGCCGTCGTCGTTGGACTGGACGATGCGGATTGCTTGGGCGAGTGGCGCCGTAGCGGCGGCGAGCAACAAAAACGAGCGCATCTTGGTGGATGAAATGAAAGAGTGGAGCAGAGCGAGCGTCACCGGGCCAAGAAGGTAGGGAGAGTAGCAAGACGAAAGAGCGTGCTGGAGCCAAACAGCCGTAGCTCGAGGTCTACTTACAGATATATAGTATCCCTATCACTGTATATCCATGTGGTATAACGTCGCATTCAATGATCAGCCACTAACGACTCGAGGCCATCATGCGTGCTAAAAGTAAACACAATTTGGAAACACTGCCCCAGGACAGGCACAGGTTCCTGGCAACGTGCCGGGAGAAGCAATGTGATTGCTCGCCGAATAAATGAACAAGGCTGCGACATGCTGGAGAGGACGGCTTTCGTGCTGTGAGTGGGTGTTAACCTCCGAGCTGGAAACATGTCCAAGGAGTGTCGCCGCTGGACTAGTCGTAGCGTCTCGGCGCCAGTCACTTGAACCGGCAACCACGCCCGCCCGCGACTTGCACGTGTGTTGATACCGATACTTTATTCACGCTCTACTTCACTCGTACCACCACGTCGGGTATTGGAATATTTTTTTTCAACTATACATTACGTCCTCCGCGAGACCTGATCTTTCACTCCTGCCATATCTGATCACCTCCCGCTGGTTGCGCATGGATCTGACGGGCCGCTCTCCACAAAATTCGAGGCGAAGCAGAAAGAGCCAAGGCCCCTGGATTTTGTACCTTATAGCCAAGCCCAAGTCCATAGCATACAAAAATGCATATCATACCACTCTGCATGGCGTAGGCGGAAGAAAAAAACGCGAGTAAGTTCTACGCGTCTCAGAAATCCAGGACGTGCCACGCACGAGCCATGAGCTTGTTTGCCCTGCCACCCTCGCCCGCCGGAATCGTCTCGTCGCACCAGTCTAGAATCGCACGACATAGCCAGACAGTATATAGAGGTATTGGGATTCAGTCATCGTGATTCGCTCGCGTCACCTCCTCGCACAAGCTGCTGGCATCTCGGCGTAGACTACACAGCCCTATTCATATTTAATTGCGCCGATTCACCGAAACACTTTGGTCGTTATGGGATTTACAAGACCCTCTCAAACAATGTGAGCAGGCTTCATGGGCTGCTGCTGGTAATAGTCGCCTGCAGCGCCGGCTTGGTATGATGGAGGAGCAGCATATTGATCGTGCGCATCTGGGGGTGGGTGTGTCTGCGAATGGTATGCGGTGTTCTGATGGTTATCGGGCGCGCCAAAGTAGGGAGTGCCGTGCAAGTCGGTAGCAGGCAGAGCTGGGTTGTGGGCGGGCGCATAGTGACCTCGCTGGGCTGCGGCTTTTGCGCGACGGTGGCCGATGATTGAGTAGATGAGGAGACCAAGGAATGTGAGGCTATAACAGGTCAGCACAGCGAATTGCTATGATACTAGCTCAGACGTACAAGACAAAGATGCTGAAGCCGATTCCGACGGGGCTTACGCCGTGGCCGATTGCTACAAAGTCGACAATCAGAACGCCGGCCCAGAAGCCAGTCTGGAAACAGTTCATGGTCAGGAAGGTGCCCGGCTTGAGCTTATCTCGAAGGAAGAGAAGAATGGCGAGCACGTCAATCAACAGCACAATGACCATGAAGAGAATGAAGAGGACGACGGTGCTGCTTGCTGTTAGTCTACGAGAGTGCTCATGAGCAGCTGTATAGGCGTACCCCGGTCCTGGCTCAGTAAAGTCCTTGAGATCTTTCAGCGTGCGTAGGGTATAGGCGAATATGGCGATGATGAATATCATGAGACATATTCGCACAATCCAGAAGGGCACGAGGATGCGCTTCTTCCAGAGGCCTTTTCCTTGCTCCATGTTGCGTAGGGCGGGGGTTCCAGAATAGGGAGGTTGAAGAGGGTGTTAGTTGGGGTCACAGTCAATTGCAAATGAGGCAGAAGAGAAGACATATAACGGCACCAAGGCTGACCGCACAAAGGTCCAGTGTCGCCAAATCTCACGCCGCGGCTGAATTAGCAGGCCTGAATCCAGGGGAAGGCACAGCGCGCGGTGATGAAACACGCGTTCGGCCCTGCTTATCTTCATCTCCTCTATTACGAGCCGCGTATGTTGGGTGCGAGCGATGCGCGGCCATGGTCCATAGGGCGGGGAGGGGAGCGGTGCATATATGTATGTATGTATGTACTTGAATGTATGTGTGTGCGTGTGGTGTGGATGAGGTGCCAGGCAAGTGACAAGAGTCAAGATGGATGTCAAGCAATGGCGGTTGGACTGACGGGCAAGATGAAACTAGGGCGCTGGCCGTTGCCGAGCTCAGGGTCTCGTGCCGACGGCGTTGGGGTGGCAAGCGCGATCGGCGGGGATTTGTAGATGAGGGCAGACATGGGGCAGGGGGCCAGGGAGGAAAAGTAGTAGTAGTGGTAGTGGTGGTGGTCTGTTGAGCGGTGACTCGTGCTGCCCTGCATGTGCTTGGCCCGCCCCAAGAGGCGTGCAAATGGTAGCGAGAGATTGGATCTCAACCACTCTCTATGGTGGTGCTGGCGAGGATCAGACAGCCGACGTGCTCTCAACCTCCATGTCGCAACGCGGCCGCGCCCAATAGGGAAGGCATCGCGTTCCACTCAGACCATCTGATACGGTGGACCTGCCACGCGCCCCTTGCACGCGCTGCCCCCCGATAAGCCCGATAAGATACCGACACCATGATGGCTTGCCACGACCACGGCGACGGCGACGCGGACGGGAGCGCCTCTCCCACACTAACGCAACACCTCCCGACACAGTAGCCTTCTGATAGATATTTAGTAGACCCCACACCGTCCGCGCGAGTATCCACTATGGGTTCCGATCAGTCCAAGCAGTCTGAAGCCGCAGTCAACGACAAGCTCCTCGAACGTCTGCACGCGCTCAACATGAACCATGATAAGTATGCTCAGTATCTGAGGGAGAAGGAAGAGTATGTTGTTGTAGAAGGTGAAGGAGAGGCCCGTATGTTCTTGATCCCATGTCTCTGCTCCAATACACTCTCTCCATGCTGACCATGTGCTCCAGCACCCCAGTACACACCCGTCATCAAGTACCAGCAAAATGTCTCCATCAAGTCCGTCCAAGAGTGGGAGAAGGAGCTCATGGCTGACCCAAAGGTACACTACACACGCTCGCTCCTTCCTCTTGTCCCCTGCATTGGCTGACCTCCTTCTGCTAGAACCGCCTCGCCCTGGCAGCCCTCAGCTCAAACTCCGCCAACGCCGTCCTTTCCTCTCGCGCAGCCACCATCGAAGATACACACAAGTTCAACATCAAGATCCCCTTCGAGGGCTCACCCGTCACTAACCAAGCCTCTTCCGGACGATGCTGGCTGTTTGCATCCACCAATGTCTTCCGCATCGCCATCATGAAGCGGTACAAGCTCTCCGAGTTCCAGCTGTCACAAGCCTATCTCTTCTACTGGGACAAGATTGAAAAGGCAAACTACTTCCTCGAGAGCATACTCGACACCAAGAATGAGGATATCGATAGTCGCATAGTGCAGGCCCTCATGTCCAGCCCTGTCGGCGATGGCGGTCAATGGGACATGGTTGCAAACCTCGTACAAAAGTACGGTCTCGTGCCCCAGTCAATCTACCCAGACTCGTTCAATGCCTCCAACTCTTCCATCATGGACCGCCTCATTACTACAAAGCTGCGCGAGGATGCAATCCGACTGCGTGCCATTGCCTCGAGCAACTGGTCTCCCGAAGCCGTCAAAGCAACCCTGGCTAGCGAAAAGGAAAAGATGCTCCGTGAGATTCATCTCATCCTGACGCTGATGCTCGGTCCCCCACCATCTGCCACCAAGCCCTTCACGTGGGAGTACTATGACAAGGATGGCAAACTCAACACTGTCGTCAGCCGACCAGTTGAGTTTGCCAAGGAACTTTCCGATCACAGGGTAGTTCGCGCATTGTCTGGAACCGATGTGCATACCCTCTTTTCTTTGGTCAATGACCCCCGAAACCCCTACAACCGCCTGCTCAGTGTCAAACGCCTGGGCAATGTCTGGAACGGCCGGCCAGTAACCTACGTCAACGTCGACATGAAGACGATCAAAGAAGCCTGCATTGCCATGCTGAAACGCGGCATGCCTGTATTCTTTGGCTCCGACGTGGGCAAATACTCGGACTCGTCCAAGGGTATCATGGATACCCAGCTATTCGACTACGAGCTCGGCTTCAATATCAGGCTCGGCATGACAAAAGCAGAGCGTCTACAGACTGGAGAGAGCCAGATGACGCATGCCATGGTGTTGACTGCCGTGCACGTGGTTGACGGCAAGCCAGTGCGCTGGAGGGTAGAAAACTCGTGGAGTGACCGTGTGGGCGACAAGGGGTACTTTGTTATGAGCGATTCTTGGATGGATGAATTTGTATACCAGGCTGTTGTAGATCCGAGTGTGGTTAGCTCGTCGATCAGGAAGGTGCTGGAGCAGCAGCCAAAGATGCTAGAGCTCTGGGACCCCATGGGTGCACTGGCTTGAGTTATGAGATTTTCAAACTTTATGACTATTAGATAGATGATTCAATGTCACTTGTATTTCTAGAGTAGTTTTGCTGAATAGCCTTCATTTCCCTAGAGTGATGTCAAACGATTAAAAAAATGGTTCAGCGGAACAGCTTAAGCCGGGTGGTGCCGTGCACTGCCGAACCTCGGCCTAGCCGCTGTAGCGCGTCATTCCTCCACATTCCGCCCGCATTTGTCACACCAGCCTAACTCTTGTTGCCATGTGATAGCCACACATCGACTCGTTAGAGTCCCTTTCTCCGCATTCTGAACTCTTGCAAACTCCTCCAGTAATCGCCATCACCATGTCTTCCGCTGTCATTCGCAATTCCTTCAAGATGGCTTCGCGGCCGCAACAACGGCTGGCTAGCATCCAACGACAGTTCAGCAGCTCCGCGCCACAAAGGAAAGAGATTCGGGATGCATACATTCTGAGTGCCAGCAGGACACCAACCGCAGTGGTGGGTATGGAACTGGCGCCAATTGACTTTGTATGCTGATTACTTCTTAGTTCAATGGCAACTTTACAACAGTTTCGGCCCCGCAACTAGGCGCCACGGCCATCAAGTCCGCCCTGGAGAAATCAAAGGTCCCAGTATCGTCTATTGATGCTGTGTACATGGGCAATGTATTGGGAGGAGGTGTTGGACAAGCACCCGCACGACAAGCAGCCATCTTCGCCGGTCTTCCCACAAACATCGAAGCCACCACCATCAACAAGGTATGCGCCTCAGGCCTCAAGGCTGTCAGCATTGCCGCCTCTACCATTGAGCTCGGACAAGCGGAAGCCCAGGTCGCGGGAGGAATGGAAAATATGACAAGAGTCCCGTACTACCTGAGCCGAGCAAGCCAGCAACCGGCATTCGGACACCAGAAGTTGGAGGACGGCCTCATCTCTGATGGTCTATGGGACGTCTACAACCAGATCCACATGGGCAACTGCGCAGAGAACACGGCCAAGAAGTACGAGGTCTCAAGGCAGGATCAGGACGATTACGCTATTGAGACATACAAGCGCGCACAGCAGGCATACAAAGACGGGCTCTTCAAGGATGAGATTGTACCGGTTACCGTCAAGACAAGAAAGGGCGAGACCGTTATCTCAGAGGATGAGCAATATAACAAGCTCAAGCTAGACAAGGTTGCGACGCTGAAGCCAGCTTTCGAAAAGGGACCAAACGGATCCGTCACAGCGGCCAACAGCTCGCCCCTGAGCGACGGCGCATCAGCCCTAGTCCTCGGCAGCAAAGATATCGCACAAAAGTACGGCAAGGACAGCCGTGTACTAGCCAAGATCGTCACTTACGCTGACGCTGCTCTGGGTACGTTTTGTCTTTTATCTTTACAACAACAACAACAACAACAACAACAAAAGATGCCACTAACACTCCAAACTAGACCCCATCGACTTCCCCGTCGCCCCCGCCGCCTGCGTAGACAAGCTCCTCGCTCAGTCCGGTCTTTCAAAGTCTGACATTGCCATCTGGGAGTTCAACGAAGCTTTTGCCGCCGTCATCAAGGCAAACGCAAAGATCCTTGGTCTTGGTACTGAAAATGTGAATCCAAGGGGCGGTGCGATTGCTCTGGGTCACGCGCTTGGTAGCTCTGGAAGCAGGATATTGGTTACTCTGCTGCATCAGCTCAAGGATGGGCAGTATGGTGCGGCTGTTATTTGCAATGGTGGTGGTGCGGCATCCGGTATTATTGTGCAGAAGGTTAGTGCGGATCAGTTGTGATTTGGTCAGAACGATAAAAGTAAGGAATTCCATATGGGGTATGAGGGTATGAGGGTATGATTAGTTCAAAGAGATGAAATCAAAGATTTTGACACTATTGGCCACTGGCGCACTGGCACGAAGTGGTTGCAAAGTGATGGGAAAAAAAAGACTAGTTCAACGTTTCTACTCATCACATCAGAGAGCGTATATGAGAAAAGATGGATAAACATGGTATATCATAACTCATTAATCAAGGAGGAAAAAAGAACAGATACCACCAAACACCGTCACACTACCCTAGCAAATCCCGGAAAAGCAAAGAGATATATCATATCGACCCAACCTTTCTCTCGTCCATTGCATTTAGCAAGAAACAAGTATTGAAAGCCCACACTTTCTTCATCTCGCCTCTCTATCGAAAAAAAACTCAAATCAAATTCAAATCCATATCCGTATCCATATCCATGGCAAAATCCATGGTGTCATCCCACGGCATCGCCAAGACATTCTCAGCAGAAGATGTGCTCACGCCCGCAATATTGTATTCGGCACTGCTAGTCGGATTCTGCAGGTGCTCTGGGAGCTGGTCCCACGAGGGGAATTGGAAGTCATCGGCGGCGGTAGTAGTAGTGGTGGCACCGGGATTGCTGAGAGCAGTGGTACCCTCGTATACGGGTTGCTGTTGGTGGTCGAGAAG